TGTGCATGTGAGCATGTGTGCATATGTATGTGTGTGTGTGTGTGTGTGTGTGTGTGTTATTGTGTGTGTGTGTGTGTGTGTGTGTGTGTGTGTGTGTGTGTGTGTGTGTGTGTGTGTGTGTGTGTGTGTTTGAACATGTACACTAGAACATGCATATTCCTTACAATCTTACCTGGAATCTTCAGGATGAACTCAGCAGTGGTTCCGGCGTTGGTGGCGTCAGCCTGGCCCATCTCCTTGACGACAGTCTCACGGACACGCCCAGACGGGTTACCGCCCACGTTCACCAGGAAAGGACTTCCTGAAAAGAACAGAGAGCCAAAAACATCCAATTATGACGAGAATAAAAACAGTTACCTGAAAGATATCAGAACACTGTTAGAAATATTGTATTCTCACCTTTTTCATTCAGTTATAGATTGGCTATTTATGTTTGTTTGACTGAAATGTTCTGTATCTACGTATTTAACAAGAGACAATGATGACAACAATGACACACCGTGGATAGTATTGCTGATACAAAATGATACTAGCAAATTATAAGTCTAAGACATTTTCTTACCTGTTACACGTTTTAACACTCTTAATCGTGGAAGCACAGAACTAGCTTTTTAAAACTGGTGTTGGTAGTCTAGCTATTAGGTCCGAAACAAAGAGAATGGTTGTGTAGTCGTGTAAGAGGGATACAGGACTTGCACTTAACATTCACGTGAGTCTTCAATAATGGATATACCACCGGTATGGGAAACTTCGCGGCAGCAAGCTTCTCTTATGGTGCAATCAAATACACAACAAAACATGCCGGCATAGCACATATAGGTTGTCATATGTTTCATAAATCTTCGCTTTTTTTCTTGCCTCAAGCCTGTTGGAGATGACCTCTATCCTCCTCCATATAAAAATTACAGCCTTTTTAATAAAAATTGTGACTGCTGCTACACTCGGAGGCTGGCCCCGAGGATGACATGAGCTGTCCGGAGGAACTGATCCGCATGTTCATACCGCTTCTCCAGCAGGCTGAGGGGCAAAGACACTTAGTTTCATTTAGTGCCTGAAAGTTTCTGAGGTCCTGCAGAACGGGCATGCTCTGGTGTATCTCAGCCTCTCCATAGGCACACAGAGGGAAAGTACATTACAGTTATTACAGTGGACTTGTAGCCTTCACCAAAACATCAACGCCTCACCGACTTGCCTTTTTGACGCAGTGACGGGTATTTTCTTGTTCTTCTTGAGGTGTCAGATCTGAAGCCCTTCTGTTGAGATGTCATACAAAGACTAAACCAATCACAAGCAATGTATTTACCTTGGATGTGATCATCAGCGAAGCGGATGTTGAGGATGTAGATACCAGGCTCGTGTGGGCTGTAGTGGATTGTGTAGACTCGGTCCTCCACTTTGTAACACTCGACGTCTGAGCGATGAGGGCCCTCAATAGCCACGCTGAGACCTCCGTAGCCTGTGAAGTGCAAGATGTACATGTGGAAGAATATAGTGAGGTTTTTAAAATGTTAGAAATAAGAATTTTAACAGAACAATAGATAAATAGCATAATTTGTTTAGCGCATATCCCTGCTCAACGGAAAGCTCTAAGAGCTTTACGCTCTAGATTTATATCGTTACCCCAACAGACCATAGAACACCAAAGAAACATTCTCAGCTTCCCGAGTAGTAAGCATACAATGTAAGGAGCCAATTCATTTCTCAAACAATAACAAGCTAACACTGTCTATGGCAAGGTACCATTCCCACCTGGGTGAAGCTGAAAAAAATCGTGTAAAGTTCCTTTATTGAGGGCACAATTTCGAGAACCTGGCGGGATTCGAACCCACAACTTTATGATGGAAAGTCTTAGAGCCTACCATTTGGTCATCAACAACTGTAGAAAATTAGTCTAGCTGATAACTTTCTCTATGTAACGGTATTCCATCTTATTTAAACTTAATCGTATCTCAGTCTAATTTGACTAAAATCGGTCTGGCATGGTCTTCTACATCTGTGATTTTTC